TGATTTAGTCTGCATGGAACTACTAAATACCCACAAATAACCTTTGCTAAATACGGCAGGGAACTCAGCGGCTGGCTTTAAGACTTCTCTGGTTTATCTTCGGTCATATTCCATAGATTCACTTCTATGCTACTGCGACTAATTGGAAGGCCAATGCTCGGCCCATTCCATAGAGAAGATTATCTGCGCTCCTGTAGTTCAGTTCCTATTCACAAGTCGAAGAAGCGTTCTGAGAGTCTTCCGAGGTTTTTGTATGGAAATGAGGGTTGTGTAGAAGAAACTTTTTACTGCAGCCGAAGCCAGCATTCGCAACAAATTCCGCAACGAGCGAGTTTTCGCTATTGTAGAGCTACAGCAAAATCGTAGTCGTTGTGCCTATGGAAGAAAGGATATCTTTCAGTCTCGGAGCCATATGGGGAGATGCAAAAAAATAGAGTTTGGCCGACTTAAATATCAGTAAAGCTTTTGCAGCCCAGATAGAAGACGTGGATATGAGTACCAAGGCGGAAGATACTAAGGGTGTTCCCCGATGACCAAGAGCAGGCTCTTGTCCATCACCTTCATGTACACAAAAATACGAAGTTATCTGCAAACGCAGCCGGACTGGAGAAGCAGAAGGGAAAAGGCCTGTAGAATTTACGTCACCTTCTAATAGCTGCAAAACTTCGTGTATGGAGTCACCCATGAACATGCTACCTAGAGACCAGAACGCTTGATCTGGAAGATCTCCGACATCGAGCAGCTGCAACAACTCGCTAGTCCTGGATATCATATTCACCGCAGTCACCAACGCGCAGATTTATGGTTGGACCAGAGGTTCCTGGGATGAGAGGACCGATACTTTCTTCGTGAACCCCAGACTGAAAGTCAACGCTGACGATTACATCGACCAACTCGAGGAGAATAGCCTGCCCTGTTGTCGCCCTTACCATCTTGGAAACTTCGTACTGCTACACGATTGGTGCCAGCAGATGGAACCGAAGAGCGTTGGGAAAACTCTCGCCTCATTGGAATCAAAGGGAGTCGGGTACCAGAAGATGAAGGGATATCCAAGTGTGTCGCCTGACTTAGACCCCCTTCATTACCGAGTCAGGGAGGAACTCAAGGTGGTGAACCGTGGCGGAGAGATGAACGACTTCGTTGAACTCAGGTACCGAATCACGGGCGTGTGGGAAAATCTCTCAGTGGCGTTCATCCAGAAGACTGTGGAGGAGTTTCGTGATCATGTTTAATGCGTTGTTGGATTTGATGGTGCAAATGTCCATCCAGTTTGATAAAGTATATTTATATCGCCTTGGAAGTCGAGCATGAAAGATGTCTTCTATTTGTACGTACCCTTCATTAGAGCAAAGTTGTGTCCATTGAATGGTGGAAAACTCTCCTCCGCCAAAAATATACCGCTTATTCTTGTTTTTACCCGCTTTTGGCTTTTCCTATATAGTAGAGCTGCGGCAAAATACAGCACGGTTACACATTATGTTTGCCATAAACATGGCAGGGAATCCATCAGTTGTCTCTGGCAGTTGCTCTGCCTATATTAAGGTCATATTCCATGGATCCTTTCCACTATGAGTGCCACTGCGTTTCTGAAAAAAGATGAAGTGTGTGGCGCATCCCATGGGAAGATTGGCCAGCAACCTTATGGTTCCGTTCCTATTCACCACAAAGGGAACAGGTGATGAAATCCTTCCCACGTTTCTAATGTGGGCAGCGTTGAGGAGGAGCCGCATCGTCGCAGTTGGAGAAGCCACATCGTTGCAGTTGAAGTGACCTCACGGACCAAAATCTGACACGAGCAGATTTTTACATATTAGACTAGAACAAGAACATTGAGCATATCGGGAAGGACGTTTCCTTGTTTTCAATCCATGCAGACTACTCTCGAAGCTATGTCTGAACGAATGCGTCCACGAAAGGTCAGGAAGTCCTTTTTACATGTTTTCCGCGTTATTTTGATCATAATCGGACTTATTTCGCCATATTCGGCCTTTGAGCAACAGTACCTTGCCCAGTCATTATTGGGAGGCTGCACGCAAGATATGCGATAGCTTTACTATGTTTGGCACACCGCTCAAAGAAGATATGCAGTTCTCAGGAAGGGCTACCAAAAGAATTTTTCGAAACCCCTGTGGGCTATGTAGCGCTCCAGTGCGGTCGCAGAAATGGAGCAGATATCCCGACATCCTTTGGGGGATATATCTCATGAACACTTCTTTCACAAAAAGAGGCGTACTAATAGAGCAATTTTCCGTAAGGCGATGCATAACCATCGTGCGAGCTACAACTTGCCCTGGGGTAAAGGGATTTCTGCTAAGACTGTAATTTTTTTGAATTTAATTTCATTTTCCAAGACTGTAATCCCTGGTTTAGGGAATTGCAACGGCGCACCTCTAGATCGCGATGAAATGCTTTTTGCTCTGTGGACAGTCATTAGCTGGACTTTGGAAGCCGCAAGCCATCTTCGCCAGGATGAGGCATTTCCTTACATCAAATTTTTATATCAAAGGTGTCCAGAACAGGACTTCGCTGCTTTTAGGAACTGATTAATTGGTGTCAAACTTACGCAGGGATGGCTGCTTTTGTGAAGACTCATCCGAATGTGTAATTTTTGCTTTTTTTCCTTCCAAAGACCAATTTTCCCGAAAGCAGTACAGTGAGGCGAAATCAATTCCATTCTTTATCATGACAAAACACAATCCCATGTTATCTATTTGTCGAAAAATGACTCATAAACGTTGAAGCATGCAGCAAAACTGGATTTTTCAAGTCTCTGGGAAATTTTGGAGTTTCAGAAGCATGGTGGCAGTCTCAAATTTCTTTGAACCTTTACATACTTCTAATTCGCTATTTGTCATAAGCTCCAATTTTTTCTCCCAGGAGGAAAGTTCGACGTAGCTACATACGTGGAGAGAGTAGACAATCTTCGAAAGAGGAGGAGCAAGCGTTCTGCAATCGCAGCGTGCCTTTATCGGAAAGACCCCGAGCACTTGGTTACTTACTCGAGTATGAAAAAGGAAGCAAATCCGAGGACGTTTCCCGTAACGCTTCACGAGAGGTAATCAACTAATCCTCTGCCTCATTTTCTTTGAGCTTCTACATCTTGGTAGGTGATTTGGTTTTGTGTCCTACGAGGTCACTATGTGGACCATTGATTCAACATGACCCTACGCTTTGACCGAGTTATCGTAGTCGGAGGATCGAGAGGATAAGCAGCACGCTCCCCCTCGGCGATCCGTAGGGAAGAAGGGGGCACGTTGGGCTCCGAGGAACCAGGTGGAGCAATGGGCCTAGAAACGACTTCCGACCGATGGTAGCTTCACCGGCTCACAGGGTGATGCATACGGCAGTGCTCCTTGGCTAAGCTATATTCCGATGCAGTTAAAGGAAAAGTGTGCTCATTGAGTTTTCAGTCAGACTCTCCCAGAAAGATTTGTTCTTTAACCATGTGTACCCTTGACAGTTTTTCGTATAGGCTTGGACTATTGCGCAATGAGCTGCACCTCTCATGCCTTCAAATGCTTAAGGTCCGGTCGAGAGCTTCAGATAGACCACGTTGATTATACACACCAGGGCACATCATCGTTGGGATTCTCCAGCAGCGGGATCGTATTTGATCGCTCGGGAACGGAGGGGTCGTAACTTGCCTGAAGGAATTTCTTTTCTAGTTGGTTTTTATTGTTTCAGAGACGCTACAAAGAGGATGGGGCCCCATTTGCTCGTTACTGGAGAGGGGGAGGGTCTTATTCGGCCTGCGGTCTTGTGAGAGTGGTTGCTGACTTTTGGTTTTTCGTAGTTTCTATTGTTTTAACATATACCCCCCCCATGACTCCACAGGTTGTGTCGTGACCGGGTGGAAGAAAGGTGAAGTGCATTGGCATTTTCCCTACCCAACCACGTAGAACGTGGGTATTAAAAGGGCACCATAAGAACGCTCAGAGTCAGATGCCTGCTGATCCGCCACATGCATGTTAGGCCTAACCCAAAGCTGAGATACCTACACTATTGTGAGATAGAGTAGAAGCCTACTAAAGGTGTGACCGATATTTGTGCATGTTACTGCTACAGAACAGGAGAACTATTGACGATTAACGATTCATCTTCACTATACTAATATTGAATTATTATGAAATAGAGTGATACACGTGAATAACCATTACGATGCTACGAGAGTGGATGGAGCAAGCTATGAAACGAAGGCATGGATAAGAACAGCACAACTGACCGGGAGGAAGTATGTGATATGGCAAGCATCGGTCCATTTGGCCGGCGATGAGACAACGATGGCAGCAGCTGCACGCAAGGATGACACATCGGCGACTGCTGGAGGCGCACGGGCTGGGTGTAGAGAAGCAGAGTAGGTTCCCGCGCTTCCAGCTTCTTTCATCACTTGAACTGCCTGCTACGGTAAGATGACGAATGGAGCATGATATTGTAAGGCGCATACCACGGACGCTTCCAGGTCGTAGGCAACTCACGACATGAGGAGGTGGGGAGGGAGGGGGTCCTATCAAGCCAACCCTTATCCTGGGGGGGGGGCTGTTTGTTGCACGGGCTCAAAAAATTCCCAACAGATGATGTGCCTTGATGCACACTTCACACCCCTTCAGGTTGTCTGAGAGAGTTCCTTGAGAGAAATAACCCAGAATGTTGATCGTAACGTAAAGGCGTCTCATTCCTAAGAATACTTATAGGGCAAAGAGGCACGGTTCCACTTTCTGGAAAACTTCAGACAATTCTAAAAGTCACACTTTCTAGGGCACGGACGTGCCAGCACCTGACGAGGAATATGGTTTCCAAAAAGGATCAGCCGGAAAGGCTGCTGAAAGTGTATGTTTTAGATGAAAAGAAAAATTCACTCAAGGTGTGATTAATTCATATTAGCGGGTAGCTAAACTAACCCCTGTCGAGAATGTTATGCTATGGAAAGTTGAATAATTCGATTTTGCAACTGATCTTTGTGGCCAACTAAACGATTGTATCTGTTCATATTTTAGAGGAGAATGAGCGTAAGGGACCAAGGCACCGACGAAATCAAGGGAGCAGAATCCTTCTACAGGCAGTGCCAGAGCAAGGATGATAAAGTCGAAACACTGAGTGACGACGTGAAAGAATTGAAGGTGACTAGTTTTGAGCGAAATTGCAATGCTATGGAAAGCTAGAAGATATGATTGAGCAACTAAAGGTGATTCATGTTCCAGAAGAGACAAAGCGTAAGGGAAAAGGGCATTGACGGCAATAAGGTAGCAGAACCTCTCTATAGGCAAGGAAAAAGAAATGTCAAAGCCGAAATGAAGAGCGACGGCACGAAGCAAGCGAAGGTGGCTGGTCTCAAGCAATCAAGAAGGGATGAGCAAGAATTCATTCAGTCTGAACCCATGTTTTAAGCTTTACATATAGTAATTGCAGTTCTTCATAACAATAACAACCAAAATAAAAGTTCGTGGTTGCTTTTGTAATCCACACTGTTCTCGCTTACGGTGGGAGCTACCTTTTGACGACTCAGCTTTCAAAACTTAACTTTGAACAGAAAATAGTTGAGTGTTCAAAAACAGGAAGAAACTCCAAAAATTTGATTTCGACGAGTTCAGAAACCCCAAAAGATCCAGAACACCCAACGTAATACTCCGATGCTTAGCATTTTTGTGAGGCCTGAAATGCTCCTTTTTCAAGGTAGTTAGATACTATCCAGCGTAGGTCAAAATAGCTCACGTGGTTCTGTCGGTTCTCAGAAAGTAATACCTAGCCAATTGTTAGCTAATCAAAAGGACGCTAACGAGCTTGGAGATGGCATTAGAAGGAATCGCTGTACAGAACTAGAAGAAGAGATGAGGACTTGCTTCAAAGGAATTACAGCTTCGCCCACTGCCGAACTTGCAAATATATTATCTCACTACAGATCGGATCAATTTGAATATTGCACAGGAGCTCTTTAAATGCTCCTTCAATCTTATTGGTAATAAAACTATCTCAGATATCTGAACACCGAAAATCAGATGAATATTTCATTTGGAATAGCTGCTAAATGTGGTTGTTGTCCAGCTAATCATTGCTTCTTGGTCTGGTTTCGAGATGTAAAAATTTCCTGAAATCAACGCGCACTCGGGTGAAAATTATTCACATGCAGCGGTGCTCTATTGGAATGGATTTCGATCGACGATATTGCTTGGCTGACTCAGGTTGCTTTCTTGATTTTCCGGCGTCCATCGATGAACACCGCGACCATCAGCGTCTTGAGGGACTAGGAAAGCATGGATATTGATCTAGTGTCTACCAGCGACCAAGTGACCAATAGCGTCCATCACTCACCGAGAGTATTGTGTAGTAAGTAGTAGGTGCGGCCGCACACGTTACAAACACAGGACGCCTAAACTAGCAGTCTGCTACCCGTTTACTTCTCGTGCTCTCTCCTGGTCGCTAGTGGATGCTCGTATACACTAGATCGATATCCGTACTTTACTAGTCCCTTAAGACGCTGATGGTCGCTAGTAGACGTCACGCTTTGCTAGATCCATATCTATATTTTACTAGTCGCTGACGCTGATGGACGCTTGAAACGCTCATGGACGCCGGACTCTAGTGGGCGCTGGTAGACAATGGTGGACGCTAGTGAACGCTGCCGCAAAGTATAAATGCAACTACAGAAAATATTAGCATTATGTCTATCGCGGCTCATCCCTCTTTGAGAGGGAAATCAGATCCTGTAGCTGAAAGCAGGGCATGCAAATATGTCAGTGATGAACAGCCCAGGGGCAACTTTTTTGGTGATGGGAACACAGGTCGTCTCTCGTCATGGAGAACCCATGGCGAATCAGTGTCATGTGAATGAAACTGCACTGTAGATTCAAGCCACATTTTCCTATAAATGATGCAAGGAGCTTTATCGGCTGGCTTTGAATATTGCTTTGTGAATCAGTTTGCCTTTGATGACCACGACTTAAAGTAGTGGTTTAGCGATGTGCGATCCGTGGTGCGATTGGGAGGAGAGGATGCCTATCGAAGCATACTGCCGCTTCCGCGATATTACGGGCATTTACGTTGAGGAAACCACTTTTTACCGCTTTTCCGCGACGAGCAATCTTTCGACTTGGAGGATCTCCAAAGAGGTATAACGACTTTCGTGAGAAAAGGTGTAATCCTACTTTATATAACCGGGTATGTCCGTGCGTACGTGTGACTGTGTGTGCGTTTGTCTGTTTGTCACGAAATCCATAGCACCTGAAGAAGAAATTGGAGGGGTCGGGTCATGGTGGAGATGGGTAGAGCATGGGACAAAACCTAAATAGCACCCATTACCCATGGTAATCCCTACAAATCCTATCCGCAGCCTCATCGTGGCGTAGGGGTGAACGGTTTTGGACTGTTCCAAAAACTTACGAATGCGGAAGGTGCCACGTGCCTGGCGAGCTACGCGTGGTTAAACTTCTTATCGCCGAAAAAGTTACAGTTATGGGCCTCATCCCCTGAACCTGGAACCACCGACAGGGGGACGTCGGCTGGGACCGCTCGGGCGAGGCTGCTAAAATCACAGGGCCAATGGAGATTTAAGTCGCCCAGGACTAGGATGACGATCTGTACTTTCAGCGCACGGACGCTTGCATCGGAAGCTTACATCGAGGATCTGATGTTGCAAGTCAGGAAGATCAAGTACGACGTCATCGGACTGACTGAGACGAGGAGGCATCGCCCGCTACCCGCCGTATACGAGACTGGAGAAGAACTCTTCCTCGGAACATGCGACAGCAGAGGCGCTGGCGGTGTGGGCGTCCTCGTCAACACGCACTTGGCCATGAACATCTATTCGTACGAAATTCTGACGACCCGAATCGGACGTTTGCAATCGAGAAGATGTGGTTCAACTCCAGCACAATCTTCGTCGCCTACGCACCAATATCAAGCTACGACGAGGATGAGCTCGAAGCGTTCTACATGGAATTGGAGAAGTTCTACAAGGAAGATCACACCTTCTTCGAGGTCATCGTCGGCGATTCCAACTAAGATCGGACGAGAAGAGCGGCTGAAGAACTTCACATCGGAACTCACGGAACGGAGTGGAATGAGCAGAACACGAACAGAACTGGAAACATGAGCAGAACTGGAATGAAGACGAAGAACACCAAGCTCCGTGCCCACCTCTTCGATTCCGCGGTCCTTCCTGCCTTGACGTGCGCCTCAGAGACTTGGACTCTACGAAGACAGGATGAGCATGCGGTCGGTGTTATTCAACGCGCCATCGAAAGGGCGATGCTCGGAGTTTCCCGCTATATGCAAGTGAGAGAGGGAATCCGGAGCTCCAGCCACCCACGCCAACGATCGAGAGATCAGAGACGCCGCCGCAATCTGCCAAGGTTTCGAAGATCAGTGTGGGCCGGACATGTCATGCTTCGAGACGACCGCTGGACCAAAGCAATCACCGAAGGAGAGGGTCAATGCGAACGCCAGGAGCCGCCTTACGCGATGGTCAGATTTCTTCGTGAAAGCTCTGAACGAATGGTATGAAGTTCATCGTGTCCCTCGAGCTGAGAGAGTTCATTGGGCAACTCTTGCACGTTGCAGGGACGAATGGAGACGTTACTGGCGCCCGCTGTGGGCGGGGCGTGTTGGCACGCCCCGCCCACAGCGGGCGCCAGTAACGCCCCGCCCACAGCGGGCGGGGCGTGCCAACACGAGATACTAGTTCAAAAAATCGTAGTTTGGTCGTAGAGCACTACACACGGCACAAGGAAGAGGGTTATGGTCCTTAAGTGATCACATGTTGGAATGTGCAAGGCATCCCCCTTGTGGGCGGAGCTTGCTCCAAGGTGGGTGGAGCCAAGTTTGAAGAATTTGTGAGAGGGTTCCCGAGCAACCCGGACACCGGGAGAAAGTAGTTTGAGATCAGCGGGGGGGGGGGTCACCAGTTCACAAATGCGAGGCACACCCGCTGTGGGCGGAGCATGCGGCGAGGTGGGCGACGCTTAAATTTTGAAAAATTCAAGAGTTTCAGAGCACTTAAGACACCGGGAAAAAGTAGCTGGAGATCACAGAGGGGTCACTGGTTCACAAATGTGAGGCAGACCTGCTGAAGGAGCGTGCGGCGAGGTGCGCGGAGCCAATTAAAAAAAACTCCTAAAGCGGTTCCTGAATGCTCCACTCACAGGGAACAAGTAGGTCATCGAGGGGTCTTTGGTTCACAAGTGTGAGGCATACCCGTTGCGGGTGGAGCGTGCGTCGAGGTAGGCGGGGTCGGTCCTATGATTTCTTCGAGCCATTAGAGAGCACTACAGGCTCCTCTTTGATACGGCCCGACCTTGCGGGGCGTGGCCCGGGCCTACCTGCATTCGTATGATCAATGCTTGACTAATACCCGGCTTTTCTCTCATCTGTCCACTTGATCAACGCACCTTACCACCATTCCATACACCATAATAATTTTGAAAATAGCAGGCATGATGTTGAACATGAACATGCTATTGGTCAAGCAATGTTAACCATCTGTTTAAATAAAACAAAAGCTGGATCTCAGGTGGTTACTGAAATGTGTGGAAGAAGATAAGCGCGGTGGAGCCGCGCCCGCTTGGCGAAGCTGTATCTCAGAAGGAGGTGCGCCGGCAGGTAGTTTCCATTTTCCATTGAACTTTGCTTCATGTTACTTTAGTCAAGCTGTAGTCACTGCAATGTTGAATGTTTTTCCGCTGCAGGAGAGGTTTCACAACTTTCAGTTTAGTTGATATGTTCTCTTTGAACCCCTGAACCCCCTGGGAAGAACCTCCTAGTTTGCTTTGGACTCACACTTTCAAGGAATTTCCCGCGCTGTTTTGAGGGTCACAGTAGCACCTACTTATCCTACTGCTGTGAAGCCTTTTAGGCAGAATCATGATAACATCGACGAGTTCAACGCTTTGCCAAACATAAACGCTTTAATATCAATAAGTAAGACAGCTGCAGTGGGCACAGCTCTCTAAAATCAATCGAGAAGGAAGGAAAGGATTTGCATAACCCTATGAGGAGAGGTGGTACTGACCACCCAAATCCCTCGACGCCTATTAGCATTCATGCACCTCAGCCAACCGCGACTAACATAGAATAATATACCGAGTATCACTCTATTCTATCAAGCGCTAACTTTGTGTGTCGGTTTGTGGGTATGTATGCACCAGTCGGATAGCCCGGCTCACGCCGATCTCTCCTCCTTCTCTTTAGCTCGGCTTCGCCGAGCTGGTCTGGCTTTGCCAGGGGCGCTCTATAATGGGGAACAGAACTCTTTCAATCACTGGGCTGCTCATACGGCGCTGTATTGGTCTAATCATAACAGATAGAGCATTTCTGCAGATCCCGGACTTATTAGCAAACACCTGCGGTCCCGCTATACCGCCCACACAATACATAGACCTACAGATATAGATAC